CCCCCCCCCAAATGGAGCTCGGAGAATAGTATGTAGACTATATAGATTCGGGACTTTACATAAGTCTCGCATAGATAATCTCGAATTTCCTTGAAATATGTTGGGAATATCTATTATTCGAAAACATTCGGAGAATAAATATAAGATTATTATTATCTTATAATCAGTATCTCTATAATCAATATATTATTATTGATTATAGAGATATTTTAGAATACCATCATGGATCATTTATCCTCTAATCACAGTCTACTTACCACAAAACGGTATAAAATTTAGAGATTGTTTCTTATGCACATGCCACTGAGATAGAATCGTGATTCTTGTATCAGTTGCTTGATGCGCAACTATCAGTTTATGCAAAATGTAGCGCGGCAAGTATAAAGCTAATTTTAATCAGTGTAAACGACAATGTTTGGGAACTTATTAATTTGAATTATTCATTGTAAATCAACATTAAAATGGCTTAAAAAATAATTAACTATAATAATTAAATACGAAGAAACTGACCAAAGTATAAGTCTCTTGTAAAATAAATGTTTGTTAAATTATTATTATTATTATTATTATTATTCAATTAAAGAAACCATGAAATTGTATTTAGAAACTTATATAATATATACGATTTAAAATTTTTCCTGTCCCAAAAATTTGCCGCCTAGGCCAGTGCCTATCAGGCCTGTGCGGTAATACTCCACTGATGGAGGTGCAACTTCCAGTCTGTTGGGGCACCAGCCGCCACTGCATATATATAAATGATATACATAAATTAATGACAAAAGAGTGTTAATGTGAGTGTGGAAAATTTGTCAATTTTTCATCTGTCTGTGCGACGCAGCATCATATACGTGTTCGTTTAGTCATCGTTTCGTGGACCGCAACATTTGCCACAGAAAACAGAAACAGTGGTGCTAAAACAGTACAGATATTATCGTATTATTTGTAACTGTTCTCCAATATTATACTACTACATGAACCCACAACTGGGTTTTCAACCAGAAAAATTTTTTACGCGCTAATACTCGAAGTCAAGTCCGAGTTCATTCGTCATAAACCTTACCTCTACGCCAAGCAGCCGCCGTGATGTACCAACTCGGGCCAACTCTTAAAAAGTTTGTCTCAATCCAATATTTCAAACACGCAATAATTGAAAATTAAGAGACACCAAAGTAAACGAGACCCCCAACATTCTTTTAAGAATCCCTTGTTTTATCTTGTCGAAAATGATTTAAAGAAAAATATTGGAACCGTTTTTGAGAAAACGTTCCTTTTTAAAGTTTGCATTAATTTCAACTAGAAATTACTCAATTTTCGAAAAATTGTACATATCCTTATTTCTAGATGTTTTTATAGGACAGATTTTTCATTAATAAAAAAATCTCTTATTATTTTTCAATATTGTAGTTGTAGTAAGATGCCGAAAAAAAGACTGCAAATTTCGAATAATTAGGGATTTCAACGAAAATCGGCTGAATGGCTTAGGCGCTAGGGCTGACCACAGACTGACAGACAGTCGTTTTGCCGTCAATCGTTTTCGGTATCAAGGATCCTCAAAACATGGATTCTAATTACACCTGTTAAGAGAAGTAATTTACTACATTTATTTACAAGATTTATTCACTCTTTCGTTGTCGGGGCTCGGCAATAAGGGTTTTTGTGCCGAAATTCGCCGTTTTCAGGTGCACAATTACAATACTTTCTCTTCTTAGCAAGTAACTACAAGAAAGTAAAAACATCGGTCAAGAATCCTACTACACGGCGTCATTCACACAGGCAAACGCCTAGTTCCGGTCGGGGAATCCTACGACATCAAAATCAAACAAACTGAATCCACCCTTAGGGTACTAAATACGAATTCAAATTCAGAATGGTTAATGTTTATATTCTTTCTTTGAAGTGTGGGTGGGTGGGGAGTGGGTGAGTAGTACGATTTTCTAGGGTAGCGTACTCAAATTACCTTACGATGTAATTATTTGTAATGGTTTTTCTCTCCAGGAAATGAATTTGGACATCCTGAATGGTTGGATTTCCCTAGAGCTGGCAATAATGATTCTTATCACTATGCTCGTCGACAGTGGCATTTAGTTGATGATCCCTTGTTGAAATACAAATTCCTTGGTGCCTTTGATGAAGCAATGAATAATCTTGAAGAAAAATATGGATGGCTTCACAAGGATCCTGTGAGTTTCTGAGGGCTTCTTGATAAATTTCTAAGTGTGAAATATGAGATCATATTTTGTTATTGCATTAAAATAATGTTTCCTTTCTCTCTTACTTTTATCTTCCTCATAAATGAATTTTCCTTCAGGGATATGTGAGTTGGAAACATGAAGAGGACAAAGTAATTGCATTTGAGAGGGCAGAGCTTCTCTTTGTGTTCAATTTTCATCCATCAAAAAGTTTCACAGATTATCGTGTTGGTGTTGAGATGCCTGGAGACTATAAAATTGTTCTTAGTTCTGATGATGAACAATTTGGAGGCTTCAAACGCACTGATGCGTCTGTTAGTCATTTATCATTTCCTGAGGGATTTGCTGGTCGAAGAAACTCTGTAATGGTATGCATTTCAGAATCTTCTCAACATGTTAACTGTAACAGCATTAAATTGAAAATTATATTTTTGTCATTGTGTTGTCATTTATGTAGATGATTGATAAATCATTAAAATCTTGCTTGTGTTTGATGATTGTTTCAATACATAAAACAAGGTTTTCTTAACAAAAACGTAATTTTGTCTTGTTTCAGTTATATCTGCCATCAAGAACTGCCGTTGTATTTGCTCGACATAACACTTGATCTTTAATTCACTGCTGATATATATATACTCATTAGATTTTACTTTTATAGAATCTGTTCATAAAAAATGTTAAAAAAAATAAAACACTATGCTTCATGAAACTGGGTATTAATTATTATTTGATATGTTAACTGGTGGTAATTTTTGGTTTATTGAAACTGGAATGACAACCTGCCCTGTACTACTTTCTGAGTGAAAAAAACCCACCTTCTTTTACTGAATATTGAGTAGTAGGCATCAGCACAATACAAACAAGTTGAACACTTTTGCTTTTCACATGACTTTTATTTGTAATTTGATATTGTCTTAAAATTGATGCAGGTATTGAAATGTAAATGTGAACTAAGTAAACAATATTTTCAACATTTGATTGTAAATCAGGCACACATTATTTAATTTGTTTTTTGAATGTAATTTGCTTTCTATTATCATTGTTATTAATTATTATTATTTAACATCATCATCATCATCATCATTATCATCAAGAAAATAAGTATTCCATTTTCCAAGATGTCAATCAAAAACCTTATTAAGAATGTTGTGAAGTTAGTCTTATTTGTGGTTAGTCTGATTAGTGGTTTAAAATTATAGATATTTTTTCTATAGTGTTGGGATTTTTAACTTTCTCATGTACATACCTAGATGGAACATTGAATGTGAAAACAATGCCAATTTAATCTCATTACTTCTTCAATGTTATTATCATTTTTTTATGTTAACTACGATCAAATTAAAGAGGACTGCTTTCTTAATTTTTTATGTTAAACATATCATTTTCAATTTATAACTTTTTTTTTTACCTGAGCACAACCATGACTTGGTGCATTAATATTTTGAATTTGCAATAACTTCAAAATGCTTTAGAAAAGAAAAAAAACAAACTATTGTATGCTTTAAATGCAATTGAAGACACTTTCATTTCATATGTATCTCAAGTTTGAAAATCATTTTAAATCATTGGTTTTCTTGTGCTCTTTGAAAAAATAGAAACATAATTTTGAAAATGATAACTAGAAGAAAAAGGCAACCAACAATTTGTTTTTTGTGACATAGATTTAAGATGGAGAAACAATGGAGCAAGCAAGATTGAAACAATACGTTTACTACTCAGCTACACAACACCAGCTGGGAATTGGTTTGTATGAAGTCCACAATTGTTGGTTTTGAGAAATATGCTATCCAGAGTTAGAACCGCTACACCCTTCATGGAAATATGTCATCTTACTGGCTTCAACTGGCAATAAGGTTTTAAAAAAATATATATAAATTACAGTTTCTGTTTATCATTCAAATATGATTTGCAAATAGAAACAAATGACAAAAGAATACATTCATAATTTTATTCATGTACAGTGTTTAGAATCTCTTTGTACTAACTCAATATTTGCCCAAAGTAGGTTTCTTTTCAAGTTGAAACTTTTCAATTACAGTAAATCAAATACATATTGCACAGAAATTTCTTGTAAGAAAAACACTCTGTGCAAAATTATTTACAATAGTGATGTATAATACAGTATTGAAGCTCCAATGCAGCTTTGTAAAAATCAGGCTACTAAGAGTATATACTTGAACATGGACACAGGTTTTTTCTCCTTCATAAATGTTTAGTTGTGTTTCTCTCTCTCTCTCCCTCTTTCTCTCTCTCCCGCCTCTCTTCCCCCTCTCTCTCCCCTCTCTTCCCCCTCTCTCCCCTCTCTCCACTCTCTCACCCCTTCCTCTCTACCTGGGAGTTACACTATCATCAAAGGGGGGAATTGTCGCTACCCTTAAGGCTAAATGCACTGAAAAATACTTGTAGGTAAATTCAATAGATCGCAGCACTATCACAAGGGAATTTACTTTACCGATAACGTCTGAACCAATGGTCCGATTTTCGATCTGTAAACGGCATTTGACGCCTTTTTAAAATAGAATTTACGCTACGAAGCCCTTTTCACAAAAATATAGCAAAGTCTCGAATTTGAAATTAGTTCTCAAACTTCCGAGAAAAAAATTAAAAATGTGGGCGCAAAAAAATTAAAAATAGCGCAATGGCGACATGCTTCCTGAATCCAACGCCGTGACAATCATGCAAATCGGACGAATAGGAGCGTCGTAAAGTGAAATTTACGAAAACACCTCGCCCCCCTTCCCCTTCCCTTCCTCTTCGCCGTTGCGTCACCCACCCGATTGTTGTGGGCCCTCTGTCGGCGCGGGGACACGACCAGGCTAGGCGGCGTGCGGCCAGCCCCGGCGGAGCAGGCGGGACTTGCGGGATACGCAAGCCAGACAGTCGGTTTCGGCTTTCGTCTCTTTGCATCTCAGTATATTTTTCCACAGATACCAAATTAGAGATGCTATACTACCATTACTGACGGAGGTAAACGGTCTGTAATAGTAGTACATGACTATATTTTTCACATATTTCCGTCTTCCTTCGAATACGATCTTAAAATTGTTTGAGGCAATACTCAAAATATAGATTCCGATTTGGAACAGGTTTTTTAAAAAAATGAACTAATTTTGTAAATATAACCATTATTTCATCTCCTCACATCTTATTTTAGATATATTTTACTTGTAAGGTTTTCTGTTAACATTCCACCTTGCTCTAAGATCTTCCGGGTTCAAATACCGGAAAGAATGAGCGGAGTATACGCACGAGCTCTTTTATCCTGCCACTCGATTTTTAATCTCAAAACGACGTTTACCTGCTTTAATGAGTTCATCTGGTGATCAAAAATAGACCACTCGCACGTTATTAAAGTGATTTCTTTTTAATGTTAACGTGTCAAGGGATATTGGATGAAAATTTCTGGTAGTTGAGCAACAGAGCAACAATGCTATGAACCGCCACTGCCTTAACAATGACGCTGGGATAACAAACGGGCCAAGGACTGCCCGCAATCTTTTCATCTTCTTTCTTTCTTGTCCTATCCTCTCCCGGCCCTGCGAATAATGTGGGTATGGTGGGTGGCTATACTCACACGAAAAATTCAGAGTGGATTAAATACCCTATGTTGCAAGATCAGCTCAACAGTATTGCGATTTTACGTTTATAGCAATATGACCGACAAAATCTATTTGCAAAAATTGTTAAATGAGTTTATATCGTAAGCTCAAGACGCAGCGTGTTATTGCAATGCAAAAACGAACTGCTGAAGTTACATAATAAATGTGATAAAAATATGATGACAATTTAATGATAAGCATGACAATTTGAGAAAATCAATTTTGTAGTTTTCTCTTCATATACATTTTTGGTGGGAGATGGACGGGGTAAGGGACCCCCACGTTACATTTTTGTGAACAAATTGTAATATCCATGCGTGAACGAAATTGTTATTTTATAATTTAAGTGTAGTTTATTGTTTACACTACATTTTGAAGTTTAAGGCAATTAAAATTATTTTCCACAAAACACTTTCATTGCAGATTAGTAGCATTAGTCATAACCTTATTAAGCAGCCACCTCAATTATGGGTCAATTTTGGCACCATTGGTGGCCGCTTAAAACAGGTTTCACTGTACTATTTCCTGCCCGCACGGAAGACTTAGATTTCCAGTCATTAGTAACGAGGCGTTTGTTTGATTTTGATGTTAATAAGTGCAATAAAAACCAGTAAGTAGTAGAGGAGAAGGTGGTAATATGAGCTCCCGCTTTTTACTCGACTTTAAAAATAAATTAAACCAAAACCGGTCTTCGTTACGTTCATTAATACAGATTGCGGTAAAAAATGTTTAAAACATATTGAATTTCATTCGTAAGGAATTAGAATCGGTCTAAGCGAACTCAAACTATAATTAGAAGCAAAAGAATTACCTTCCAAAGTTTTTAAAACCGAGAAAACGCAAACACCTTTGTTACACATTAACTCTTATTATGATATATGAACATATACCAAGTGGGGCTCATATTATACACATGGCTTATATTATCACCGTTACCTCTACGATATCAGATGTTTCAAATTGGTGCTGTAATAACAAATGACTCAGGGCATCAACTGATGTTACTGCAGCGCTTCTGAGCGGGAGGTCCTAGGTTCGAGTCTCGACGGTGGCAGGATTTTCGACACTAGCTAGATAGGTCGAGTTCAGTTGAAGTCTGGCAGGGAATCCTAGAAGCCGGCTGCTCTGATCGGTAGTTTTCCGTGGTTTCTCCGATTAATGCTAAGCGAATGCCGGAGCAGTGCCCTAATATACCGGCCACGGACCACGCGCGATCCCATTCCTTGCCCAATTCAACTCTTTACACACAATTACACTTTCATGCACTACACTACCCACATGCCGGGAGACCGGAGGGGAGCTTAGAGCTTGTTCCGGCATGGGCGGTGGTGGGAGATATCTGGTTGGGGAATATCCCGCTAGCCGACGGTAGGTCGGCGCCGGATCTCACCAGCAGCACGTGGAGATCAAATCCTGGACCCCCTCCAAAACACGCACAACACTTACGGAATTACTGACCCTAGCAGTTGACGCGCCCGGAAACACGTAATATTCAATTATTCAAATTAATTATCGTTCATGTTCTCGCGGCAGTACGTCGATTCTTTCACGAAGGGCGCAATGAGGGTTGATAGCCCATATCTACAGTTGGATTGCCTTTGCAAATAGTTTTTATAACACGGAAGGAAATATTTTCTTATCAATTATTGTCAAAATTCGCATTTCCTTGCGTATTCAGAATTAAACTTATACATGGTTAAGGATAGGGAAGCAGAAAATACTATTCTTCCTTAGTATGGGAGACTGGGGCACATTGTCCCAATTTTATATTTTTAATTTATGAAGAGGCTGTGTTTACAGTTTCCTTTTCTATTATAATGCTTCCAATTATATGAACCTTTGGCTATATTTTCCCATAAATTGGAGGTTATCGCAGCATTTGACTTATCAGAAAAAAATGTTCGGTCAGAGTAATTTTTTAAACAACCTGCCCCGGGTTGGTTCTCGCAGACATTGGAGTTAGTTTGTCACGCGTTTGGTTAGACAAAAAAATAGACATTAATTGCTATGCAAAAATATTTCTATTAAAATATAATTCAATTTGTGATATTGATAAAGCAATAATACCAATTTATACACAAAAATATTTATGTAAGGGAATATTTAAGAATATTTCTGATATGAGCCTAGTCACTTTCGAGCGCAATCTCACAATTTTGATATGAATAAAAGTTATTCGGTTCAGGGGTTTATAATTCATGAGCCCACTTTTTATGTTCTACACACAGGTTGCATTTTTCTTAGCTTTACTGTTAGAAAATGGTACCAGACAAACGAAATAAAACCATCATTATTTTCGTCACTCATTGAGATTTGTCGTTCCTCCTGCATTTTACTTCCTTTCATGTTTCTTTTGCATTCTCATTATGTTTATTTTTAAAGAGGTTTCTCTTTGATTTTCTTTTTGATTTTCAGCTAATTTTTGAAGCTTTCTTTTAACTGGTGAATGTATTAAAATTACCGTAACTCATGTGCGTGAATTATTTCTATTTATATTTTCCTCACTGCTGCTAACATGATGTCTGGAGCTTCTCCTGTGATATTATTTTTTTATAATTTCTACCCATCTTTACCTGAATCAAGCGATAAGAACTACTGATAATACCTGCCGGGGTATGTGGTCAGATGTGACAACCATCCCCACATATTTTGTGACAACTAACGCCGCACAGTCCTTTCTTATTTATTTATTTATTTTATTTATTTATTTATTTATTTATTTATTTATTTATTTATTTATTTATTTATTTATTTTATTTATTTATTATTTATTTTAATTATTTATTTATTTATTTATTTTAAATTTATTATTTTTATTTAGTTTTATTTATTTTATTTATTTATTTATTTATTTATTTATTTATTTATTTATTTATTATATTTATTTTATTTATTTATTATTTATTTATTTATTTATTTTTATTGATTTATTTATTTATTTACGTCTCCTAAAACAGTTAAAAACTCTGTGTGACGTGCTATGGGAGAACTTAATTTGAAGTTACATTTATGTCAGAAGCAAAACAAGGATGCATCTCAGCATTTCTCGAGGATGCAGCGGAAAGCTGAACGAATGGTCTGTCGAGATGGGGGTCATTGACCCAGAAGCAGAAGTACAATACTTGTTACAGGTTCTTTACAATTATACAATGCGAATGATATATAGTACATTAAATGTCATTGTTAAAATTAATATTACTTTCCTATTGGGTTCTCGGTATAGTCTCTAACTGTATAGAAATAGTTGTGCAGCAGAAAAGATTTTACTTGGGTCTTAAACTTTGTATCGAATTTAATCGTTTAATGTCATCTGGCAAGGTGTTGTAAAATAATGTACATGTATTATATGTGAATTTTTTGTAGTGAGCTGTTGATAGTCACCTAATGAATATGCTTACTACGTCGAGTGTTGTAGTTATAGGCAACGGCGTTTGCTGAAAATATATTCCCGCCCTTAAGTAAGTCATTTTTGTCAAAAACCGCTGATTCATATATTAAGAGACAATGTAGTGGTAAAATACCTAGATTATTAAAGAGAGGCTTACAAGAATCACATGGGTGGGATTTGCTTATTATTCGTACAATTCTTTTTTGTAATCTAAAAGTCTGGGAGCTATGAGATGTATTTCCCCAGAATATTATGCCAAGAATATTATGCCTTTCGAACAAGAGATGAGCTGGGAACACAAACATTGCACCTAATGTCATTCTTGTTATATAATATTTTTGTCTAAATGTTATTAAATAATAGTAAATAGTTGGAATCCAGATTTTATTGAATAGAGAGTGGATAATCAGCGTTAATTGTATCAATAAATGAATACTTAGTCTGCAAAAACACAAAAACAACAATAACATCTAAAAAAACTATTGCCAAGAACTCTAAACAGAGTACTCCACCTCGGAATGTTGTGATTGTACTGTGGTTTGAGTTTAGATCGGTAGGGAGCAATAGCGTCTGAGAACAGAAACTTGTGACAAGCTGCCCCGATCGCCCGTACGTCACACAGTTTGTTTTGACATTAAAAAAATAAATAGAGGAAATAGGGATTAACATTTACAATACAATGCATTTATTACTTCATTTTTAAATTAAAATTAGGTGGATTCTTTGTGCGAGTTTAATGATAAGATGTAAATATTTCTTCAATATTATTACTGCTATAGGTAATGAATACGTACATTTTTTCTCGAGTTAACGGTGTAGATGTACGACAAATTTGGGATCAATTTCGACCTATTCCTATACTAAGTACTGTTGTACATAATGATGGTACCGGGAGACGTGGCTTAGGGCACCAACTAATGTCACTGCAGTGCCTCTGACCGAGAGGCCCTGGGGTTTGAGTCCCCCGCGGTTCCCCGCGGTAACAGCATTCTCGATACCAGCCAGATAGCTAGGTTGAGTTTTGTTACTATCTGGAATTCTAGCAGAAGGGTAATCTGATCGGTAGTTTTCGGTGGTTTCTGCGATCAATACCAGGCGAGTGCCAGAGCAGTTCCCTATAAAATGGGCCACGGACCGCGCGCAAGCTTTCCCTCCCATTCCTTGTCCTATCCTAGCCCTTACAAACACACTTGCATGCCATACACTACACACAGAGCACGATACTGGTCAGGAGCATAAAGCTTGTCCCGGTTGGGGCGGTGCCCCGCTGGTGGGAAATATCTAATTGAGGAAGACCCCGCTAGCCGACGGTAGGTAGGCGCCGGATCTCGGTATACAGCGGGGGAAGATCCCCGCCACCTCCTGAACACAAACATGTACACCTACGGGACTAATGACCTTAGCAGTTGACGCGCCAGGAATCACTAGTAATCAAGCAGTCATGGTCAGCAGAATTCAAAAAATAATTCTGTAATACGGGCGGATCGAGAAAGAATCCAGGAAGGCAATTACAATTCGAACCTCTCCCCATACATTTATTTTAGAAAATAACATCGTTTTAAAATGTAATTTTTTTCTTGAACTGATGTTTTCACGGGGTATAATATGAATACTCCTTTGGAATGTTATGCGATAAATACCTTGCAAAGGTTTTACACAAATTCAGTAAAATTACAACAAAAAAGTATAAGCCCTTGGCCGAAGGTATAGGCATTGACTGACTGCGACGTGACGAGACAAAAATAGACAAAAACTTAACGGTGGCTTACTCCAGATATTATACACGCAATGTCCAAGAACGGCTAAGAGACGTGTTACGAAAACGAGAGAGGGTAAGGGGGGCATGACTCCTGTGCCCTCTCCCGAATCCGCTACTGAAATCTGTTTAGTCTACTCGGAGCGGATCCAGAAATGATTTTGGTTTGGGCGGGGGGAAGATGTTATGAACAAAATAGAATATTTATAATAAAATACTTTTAACAAAATTAAAATATTAAATTTAATATTTAATGAATACTTAATGATTTTAAATTAAAAATAGTAATAATTTGTTATTAAAATTGTTGATTTCAGAATTGCAAAACCACCAAGGATTAGGGTATTATATGCTTCATTTTATGATACAGATATGAGCCGGTAGAATTGAAATAAAAACGCATGGTATCGATTTACAAATTAAACATTTCTTTACATACAAACATTACTGACCATGACTGAAGAAAGTTGACAGGATTTCTCAAAATATGTTTTAAGCCTCTTCTACTTTTTCTTTTAAATAGATTTCTTTCTCTTTTCTTCTTATTCGTTATAGATATTTTCTTTCGTAAGCGATCCATGTCCTATTCTTTTGTTTCGGGCACACTGTAATTGCGCCAAATGTCACAACGGCTCACGATCACTCAATTAGCACATAGAGACAGATCTTACACCGTCAATACTGTTTCCGGTTGCGTCGGCCGCGCACCAATACGTAGATGTCGCCAGAGCACTGCTTGTCAAGCGGAGTTAGAAACAGATGAGCTGTCACACGCTTCTGGAGAACAGTCAAATACAATTTCCATATGCACTACTAGGCTAAAATACAATGAGATTCAGGATTGTTTTTCATAACTAAAGGCCTAAGGGCAGAACGTGCGGTTATTTTTTCGATGAGTTTTAGACGTTTTTACAAGTTTTTCTTGTGTTATTAATTTTTATTTTTCTTGCCCTTTTACCATTTTAATTTTTTCTCTCGGCCTTTTTTGGTGGGGAGGGGATATGGGCTCTACTCGATCCAACATTGCAATTACATCAGTAACATGTACAAAATCTTGAATTACGCATCTGAATTTGTTTCGAATCTGAATTTGTTATGATAAAAAATCGTTATTTATCTATACCTTTATGGAGATTTTTAAAATATTTCAAGAGTATTTCATTAATCATTTTGGGCGATGTTTTAGATCATCAAAATTCATCCCTTAATTATATTTCCCCAACCTAGGGGTACTATATAAATACCCGACTGAGTCGAGTGTGATCGGTACATTCAGATAGTTTTTTATTCAAAATGTTTTGGACGAATCTGTCGTGTTACACATTATGTACAATGACGCAGGTTAAACTCAGCTCATGATGCGATATGATTTTATTAGTTTTAATGATTATCTGCAAATATTTTAAGGAGTAGAGAGAAAGTTATCTAATGCTGCGCGAAAAACGGCGAATGTTCGGTAGAAAAACTCTTAGGGCCCTTGTAACGAAAAAGTGGATAAATCCAATTGCCAAATTTAGAAAATATCCTCTAACACTAGGTATAGCAAGAATCTGTTTTGTGAGTCCTTGAAACCGAAAAATCGAATGTCGGCAAAACGTCTGTCACTCTGTGAACAACAAAACCGATCAGCCGATTTTCTCCAATATTGATCCAATATCCAATCGATCTGGCTGATGGTACGGGACCCGGAATTTGAAACTGATATTTCTTTTTTTTTGGGGGGGGGGGTACTTTACACAAATGCCCTGAGACTTCTTTCAAATTAAAAAAAAAAGTTCCATCGGTTTTGATTACTTTTTAAAAAAACTAGATAGTGTGAAGAACATTGAAGAGAGGTGCAGGTCTCATGTTCGTTGAAAAAGATGATTTTTGGAAAATTGTAAAAATTGAAAGTTGTTTCAGAGTCTTCCTACAACAAAAATATTAAAGATAGAACTTTTTTCTTAATGAAATCTCTTTCCCAAATATAGATTTTGAAATAAGGTTATGTGCAATTTTTCGAAAATTTAAGTACTTTTCGCGTAATTTTGCATGAAAATACGGGCGAGAAAATACGTGCTGTTGCAGCACTACTTGTTACTTAAAAGTTTCGTGAGAAGTTAAAATTAATAGTTACTGAAATTTTTTAGGGGGGGGGGTATCTCATGCCCCCTCTCCCGTGAATCCGCGCCCGATACTCTGAACATTTGTCCACAAGTCATCAGTGATCTGTACTCGTCTAAATTAGTACACAGTCATCTTAGAATATTACGAATTTTCAATGCGTGCAGAGATTGAATTAAAGTAATGCAGTGTCCAATCATGTGAAAAGTGTCTATCGTTTTGTAAGATACCCAGCTACTCGGGACAAATCCAACAACAATGAAACAATGTCGACGTTGACTGTTAATGGAAATATTTGATTATTCTATTCCGCTTATTCTCATACCGTACATACCGAGTGAATGTTAATACTCTGCAAACCTAATATACACGTTTTCCCCATAAAATGGAGTAACTTCATTCCAAATCGAAAACATCCTAATGTAAATGTGCGTGCGTATGTAAAGTAGATAGATTGTGGTCGTGGTGAAGGCGCGTGAGCTGCGCGTGAGTCACCGAACTTGCGGCGACCTTCGGAAAGGTGTGGGCGAAGATGCACCTGCAGACACACGTGAGCAGGTAGTGCGCGTTATTGAGGACCAAATGTCACCCAACTCAAACTGTATGTCCAAATACAATTCGAGATGGTAACTTGTAAAAAATCAAAATATTTCTCATTCGGACAATAAAGTTTATTATACTATTCGATTTTATTTTGTTCTTGAGATAACCGAGTAATATTAAAGATGTATTACATTAGTAATATTGTTATAAATGTGGTCGCCAGAAAGAATAACTGCTAAACGTAGTGTTTTACAATAATAATGCAGACATTTTCTGTTGTTTTGATTTGTTAAACGGGATCGCTTATTATTTGCGAACTTTGTGTTTCTGCACCGTGCACTGTTCCACTCGTTTCATTCTGTACCTGTTCCGAACCTCGAGCCTTAGCATACTCCAACTCACCAATCGACAAAAAGGCCAGGTTGAAACACCACGTCTATGGTGTACCACAAAGGCTAGTTTTAAATTTATTATTTTAGGTAATTCGTTAACTCACTTTCGTCTGCATCTTACAATCCGTTATTGTGTAACTTTCACACCTGTCGTGCATACGAGTACACACCAGAGTGCGTGATAAGAATTTTCTGAACTATTCCGTACTTTGTCCGATGCACGCTCTCTGCCTATTTGAGGAATGCATTCCAATCTTACAGCTGGGTTCAGCTGGGTTGATGTTTTGTGTTCGTAGAAAGTTGGTTCTTAGTGTTGAAGCTGAACTTTAATCGTTTTGTTATTTTCTCGGGGTTGGAGCGAAGTCTGAAAGCATAATTGGTGAGTGAATAGCCTGCTTTGCCTGCATGTATGATTTTGTAATTATTTTAGCTAATGAAAAAGAGTTGTTTGTGTGTTGTTTTTTTCATTTTTTGCTCTCCTCCAACCGAAGTAGTGACGTTTGAGACCGTGTATTCACCTGTTTATGTGGTAATTTGTATTAGTAGTATTGATTACATGAATTGGCCTAAAGTATTTTTTGTATCATTTGTGATCGGTTGTGTGTGAAAGTAGTTTTTTGTGGGGACTTAATTGCCAGTCCATGACAGCTTTGGTATGTAGTGAATTGGTTTTCACATTTTATTGATTTAATAAATATACCTGTTAGTAGGATTAATTATTAAGGTATTCTAGATTTTAGATTTTAATTTTGGTTGTTTGCTTTAGGAGGGCAATTATTTTATAACGATAACACGAATTTCATTGTATGTTAATTTACAATCAAATAAAAAATTTAATTTTTAAAGATGAGTTTATGAAGCATATGACATTGCTACCCCACATTGCTCTCACACCTTTTTTTTCTGGAAGTACATTGACTCCAGTTTTTTGCTTAAGTATTGAGCTTTAAAACATAACAATGCATGTTTGGGAGCTGTATGTTTATAAATAGCTTCATCATTTAACTGTGTTTCAGTTTTAAATAAGTTTTTATTTTTTTAACAATGCATTAACTAATAAAAAACCTTGTTTCTTAGATTTTAAATTTTTTGTATTAAGCAATTGTTACTAATTTCATACAACTGTTTAAAAATAATTTCCTTTGACATTTATGTTAAAATGCATGTGTATTCAAGGTCAGTTTTATACAATCTTCTATCCTGCAATTAAGATTAATTTGAGATTTAAATAATCCTGGACATGAAGTTTAGGATGTTGTATTATTTTTTGTTCTCTTTTTCCAAACTTCTAAATGACACAAATATGTTAGGTCTTAGATTCATGTATTTTTTTTAATGTTCAGTGCTTGTACTTGCAAAATTCTGTGTTTTTCATAATGACCATAAAGTTTTCTTGGTAAATGAATGTATTGAAAATCGAGTTAATATTACAAATCTATATTATCAGAGAAATTAGTAAAAATGCAGGGGATTAAATGTGGATTACTCCCTGGGATTTGCTTACTTGGTTTTCTTTGTATAGTGTTCATAACACATTGCTTTATTTTGTCGGCATCCAATGCAGGTTATTGTGTGTAGTTACTCGTTTACCAAGTTGTTTGGAACTATAGCCATGAAATTTAAGTTTTTTGAATTTTTCTTTTTGTTCTTATTTTTAAATTCAAGAAAAACTAGTAAAACATTGTAGAGCCTTATGATGTTTCTCCACAATATGGTGTCTATGATGAATTTATTATCTGTAATTTCTTGAACTTCTTAATTAAATTATGATTTAGTGATATTCAGTTTCGGAAAGAAATCTAATGCTGTGTATACATAGGGTGTAAAGAGTTGGTGGCTAATTGTAAAGAAATATACAGGAGTTGTGGAAATGTTAGTGTTGAGTTTTGATTTCTAAGACATTCTATTGTCATCAAACTATTCATGTATAATGTGTCTGAATTTCTTGTTTCTTACCATTTTTCATTGTATTACTGCATACACACACACATGTGCACACAGAGGTGTTCTTGAGGCCTAAGAAATTTGGAAGATAAAATAGTGATATCGTAAAAAAAGGGGAATATAGAAAAAATATGAAAAATTCAGTCATAGTTGTTGGTCTAATGGGTGAGGAAATGAAACGATATTACTAATGAAAATACATTATCAGATATCAATTAAACTACATACTACTGGTATCTAGCAGTCACTAAGATAAATTACTGTCACTTTTTCTTCTTTCTGATTTTTTTGGTACTGTTTTTATATTAAAAATGATAACAAATTTTTGTTGATTAAATACTTTTTTAATGGAAATATGCCTTTTTCCCCAAAAGCATTTAACCCTTCTTTAACCTTTGGACTCTTTTGGGGGTCTTTTTTGACTTCAGGGACAAAAAATATTTTGCAACACTGAAAATTATTCACATGATCTTCTCATTTTAAATATGCTATTTACGTCCAGTTTTACATATGTTGTAATCTTTTAGTTTTCTAAGTTTGTTTCTTTGTTGGAAATAAAATTATTTTTATGTGGTTAGAGTGAAAAATACCACTTTTGACAAAAAATGTGTGAATTTCCCTTTTGTAATATTATGTTGCAGTTTCTGAGTGATAATTTGGTGTATTTGTCTGGTCGATTTGGTAGCCCTGTTTCAAACATTCTCATGCTGGGAATGATACACACCTATGTACAGTAATGAGGATATGCTAGAATGTTTTTTTTTTGTAGAAATAAGATAATTTTTGTTGTTGTACAATATAGTAAATAAAGGAAACAAATAGTATTGTTTTCTCAATTAATAATTCCAAATAACATTCCTGAATGAAAAACGTGTAAATTATTGTGTAAAAATTGGGGGTCAAAAAATATCCCAACAGACTCCACGTACATATTTGAGACAGAATCAAATGATAGGTATTGAAATTTCTTCTCCACCTTTTGTTACACTTTCTTTCTTTTTTATTACCTACTTTATTATTTATTTTTACCGCTTTTTCAGCTGTGCATAATGCAAATACACATGTTGGTTTCTTCTGTGTGAATTCAGCACAATGTGAAGCACTTCATTCCAAAAAAACATGACTGACAACCATGCCCCTTTTAGAAATTGTAGAAATTGAACACGTTGTTTAAAAACTACATTAGACATTCGTGTAATTGCAAATCTAAAATCTAGAAACAAACATTTTAGCTCAAATGTGCAATTTAAAGATTAGAATAGCTCACTTTGACCCAGGTTACACCTTAATTGTAGGGATTCTATGAACAGTGAAAATATTATATTACTCCAAGTAGATGAGTTTTTTGAAACCTTTTGTGTTGTCACTGGATTTTTTCTTTATTACGGTATTTCAATGTTTTCCCAGTTACACCTTTCTTCCATGTCATTTCAACGTTTTCCCAGTTACACCTTTCTTCCAGCCAGCTATTCTAATATAACAGAATGATGACTGACAAATTTATATTTAATCAAATAATATTGTGGAAAATAATTTCTGTATGTAAAGTTCACCGCTTCGAGGGCAGAAAAGACATGGAGCAGAGCAACAAAGACCTTTCCAAATGAAAAGTGTTTTTCCAGTGTACATAACCATGATAAAAATTTTTAAATACTGGAAGTTAGAATTGACGTGTTATATGTTTCATGACCTGGAGTTGATATAGGAGTGAAAGCTCGAAAAATTTAATTTGTCAGAAAAATGATCAACAAAGTTTGTTTTTGTGATATGTAATGAAAGATTTTTATTCGCAAAATATCAGTATTTTGTTCTAAGGGTTTTTTCGGTTTACTAAATTTTAATATTTTAAATGTGAAGCTATATACTGGTTGATACAAATGTTTTGCAAAATACTTTTACAAACATATGCATGTATGTGTGTATAAAGAACATGCATGAAATGCCCTTACATAATGATACTTCGAAACATGTACGAAATTTCACTGTAATATTATCTCTATTGATGCAATTTGTTGTATATTATAATGCCTCTAAAATTCTATAGAACAAACCTGGAAAGTTTGTTGAGTTACACTGAGAGAAGACAAGAAATAAAAACTAAATTGATTATAATTGAAACATTTGTGGGTAGACATGTTTTAATGTGCATAAATGTAAAACTTTAGAGTTGACATATTCAATTTGCCCGTGGAGGACCTCAGACTCAAGTCTGTAAAGTTTGTTGCAGGCTGTTGCCTACTCTTCTTCTTAGAGATTTTTACTGTTGAAGGTGCTTTACCAGTTTTTTCCACTCGTTACCTTCTATATTCCAATGGAGATATTGTTAAGTAATTTTAGCACCCTTGCAGTATCCAGGTTTAGGGGTCTGGAGAAGTGAGGTCCTAAGCATTCCCCTAAGGTTATTAATTCTCCTTCAAATCATCCGCTCCATATTCACCATCTTAATCATCTGGCTCATGTCATGCTTCAGAGCTGATCAGTTAACTCCTTTATAATTGATGACTACCTATTACAATTTTAAAAACAACAGCTTGCACCAAAGCCACTGTATTTTGACATTTGCTAATATAGTTAAATTTTTAAAGAATGTTTTGGGGTTCCACTGCAATTCTAAATACTCATAACCTGGGGCATGTAGGCTAATTATCTATGAACTTCAATCTGGTAGAGTTACTAATAATTGTAAGTATTATGTAATTAAATTAATCATAGCTAGAGCTTGAAACAAACTTTAAAATATTTTACTTTTGTAAGCTGCTTATGAAATTTATTCAATATGTGCTTTTGAGAGGGAAGAAAAAGTAGTCTTGTGATACAACGCCTTGTGGCTCTCTTTCCAATAGATGTATGCTCTGTCCATAAGGCCAAATAATATTTTGTGAGTGAATATTTTCCCCAAGTCTACTTATTTATTTATGTATTTATATAATTGTACATCACCATGTATGTCACAATCGTCAAGCATGAATCGCCCATCCTATATGCAGTATTCAAACTTGCAGCCGTTGTTTCCAGCTGTGCAGTTATCATCACAACTCTTTATCTCTGCCTGGATTAGCTATTTGTGTTTGGGATGAGTTTTTTTTTCTTCTTTAAATTTTTATTTTTGATTTTCACCAGTCAAACAAAAAATCTGATCATTTTACAAACATTTCATCTGCTAGATTCACAAACCTGTTCAATTCTCCTCCTCTTAAAAACATTATAATAATTTTTAAAGCGCTAAACTTAAAAATGTCAAATGAGCAGCCAAAAAAAGATATAATTAACATATTTATCTCCACTTCGTTTGCAAAAGTAATGTATTTTAAACCTCTCAACTCCACTCACTCCTTTATCATTTGAAATTTTATTTTAATGTAATCTTGAATACCATATTTTTTGATAGGTTTCCTTTTCCGTTTTTGTGGGAACTAAATGTGAAGTACATTGAAA